GAAGGTTAGATGAGAAAGCTGGCAGGAATTTGGATCTTGATGGAATATTTGCTTTTTGAAGATGAACTTTGGTAAAAATAATTTTCTTGGTGCAGGTGGGTGTTTAAGGTGGGAGAGTGGGGATCAGAGACAAAGTGCCCTGGGGATGAGATTCTCTTCTTTATCCTTGGGAGGAGTGTTGGTTTTGGCCACAGGAAAAAATAGCAGGAATCTAATTAACAGTTCTAAGGGAGCAATCAATTTACAATTGTGTGAAGTGCGAATTCCTTTGTGCCAGAAACAAATTACAGTATTTGCAAATTTGTAAATAATATAGCACTTTCCCTGAAATTCAAATGCTTTGGTTGTTCCCCAGAGAAAGGAAAAGAAATCTGAAGAGGCAAAATGTTAGAAAATGACCTATTGTCTCAAGAAATGGAATTTTAAAAATATCGTTAGTAATTGATTTTTTTTTCAAACAAAGCCTTATTTAGGAACTATAGACAGGCACAGTTCTTAGGTCAATAGAATGAGAATATCTACAGCAGTAAACAACTTCAAGTCCAAAGTCATAGCATATTATTAACAGGCTAACTTCCGTCAAAAGCACTGAACACAAAAAATTTCCCGCAACCCTTCCTACACACCTGGCTTGTGGCAAGAACTTTCATTTTATAAAAGAGAGAGCAAGCCCCAAGTTGAGACAGTCACTATGTTAGATATCAGAGAAAGATCTGGTGACAGGTAAGGACATGAACTCAGCCTCTCTGCTCTGAAGTACTGGTTTTTCCTGAGCAACTCAATTCACAAATATTTATTGGGACTTTTTTTTTTTTTTTTGCATTTCTGGCCGGAGCTGGGTTTGAACCTACCATCTCCGGCATATGGGGCTGGTGCCCTATTCCTTTGAGTCACAGGCACTGCCCAATTGGGGCCTTTTTTTGTTTGTCTGTTTGGTTTGATTTTGTTTCCCTCTATGAGCTAAGAGTATGCAGTGCCACACTTTGTAGCTCACTGCAACTTCAAATTCCTGGGATCATGTGATCCTTCTGGCTTTCCCTTCCCAGGAGCCTCAGTCTCCCAAGTAGCTGGGACTACAGGCACATGCCACCACCCCTGACTTTTTTCTATATTTAGTAGAGACAGGGGTCTCATTCTTGCTCAGGCTGATCTCAAGTGAACTCCTGAGCTCAAGCCATCCTCCCCTCTCAGTCTCCCAGAGTGCCAAGGCCACTGGGCCACTTTGCCTGGCCCAGCCTGGGGCATCCTTTTTTTTTTTTTTTTTTTTAATTGTTGGGGATTCATTGAGGGTACAAAGAACCTGGTTACATTGGTTGTTTGTGTCAGATAAAGACTCTCTCATAATAGTGTTCCACCCCCAAAAGAGTTAAACTTATTACTTTCTCCAGGATTTTTTGAGCACTTTGCTGAGCTGTAGGTTGTTGAGCAAGGAGCCAAGGAAACAAAGGAAATGTAATTCTATCCCTGCCTTCAGGAGGGTGGAAGCCCAATGAGAAAACAGAATCTAAAATAATCATTTCAGTAGTGTGCTTGATTATAAACGGGAGGTACAGAGGCATGCAATGGAGGCTTGGATAAGTGTTTGACTTTTATCAGGAAACCTTTCAAATGAGAAAAAACAATCACCCATAACCAGCAGCAGAAGTGGGAAGGGATTAGATAGAAGTAGAAGTAAGTGGAATACTAAGGGGCCTTATACAGGAGAGAATGACAGATCAGATTTGTGCTTTCAAATGATTGCTTTTTACCTGTGTTCTTATTTGAACCTTTCCCAAAAATATTAGTAAATTGCACCAAGATATAAAACATATTCATGCCCTTTTACTCAGAAATTTCATGTCTAGGAATCAGAGATGCTGCCATAAATTTAAGTATGAAGAAGTTTATTGTAGCCCTAATTACAACCATGAAAAACCAGAAACAACCTATATGTTCAACAACGGAGTAACGGTTAAATAAGCTGTGGTACATCCAAGTCATGTGATTCTATGCATTCCTTGCAAAAAGCCAAAAAGCATATTTTGAAAGAACAAGCAAAAGAACTATGATCAAATAGTTTTCAAATGTAAAATATTTAATAATCATCCTAATTTAGTAATAAAAATATTAAAAAGTAGTTCTCAACATTGATTATAATTTTCAGCCATATGCTACTTTTCTAAAGTTCTTCCTTATTTTAGACTTAACAGATACCAAAAGCGGGGGACTTTCTCCTACTTCCTGTGAAATCAAAAGAACTGACTTTTGTTTCTTTCCCTCTGAACTCTCAGTGTGAGCCTGGATTTGCAAGTCACTTACTCTCTAAGTCTCATCCTCTTTATGGCACACAGACTAGGACAGGAAGGAAGGCCGGGTGGAGAGCGGAGGAGACAGGAGGATGGCAGAAGCTGGATGTTACCACCAGAGAGAAGAACAAGTGCAGTGGGAGCCAGAGTGGGTGGCGTTTGTGTGGAGAATAAATTACTGCCATTGAGAAGTTCAGTGGTGGAACATAAACGCTTATGTAATGTTTTAATATAAGAAATCTTGCAGTGTAGTACACTGTTAACTGCCAAATAAACAGCACTGTAGACAATATTATGAAAGTTTGGAGGAATTTGTTAGAAAGAGCCATCATCTGACAATGTACCGTTGAAGACATTCTCTAAAACTCCTCTTTAGTAATCTTTATTAGAGATTGTAATTGTAGAGGGCAGAATTCTCTTGGATCTCCTTTCTGGGGGGATTATTTAGTTACTGAAGAACTCGAAGGACCTGGTTCCAAAAGGATTTAAGCTGTTAAGTGCAAAAAGGAAAAGAAAAGGTTATAAGAAGAATGGGTTAGAAAACAATATGGGGTTAAAATACTGTTTGAAAAAATTCAATCTGCTCAAAAATTCACTCCATCCTTCAATTTCTCCTTTCCTTTAAAATGTACTCACATAAAATGTGCTATAAAAAATAGAACCAGCCAGGAATATAGCCCAAGAAATTTACCACTAAATGGGGACACATATGTGTTTCACTTCTTAGAAAAACTGTGTCTCTGACTTTCTCTCCCTGGATTTCTTGGTTCTCTGCATTGAAGGGTATGTGGTAATTCCTTCCTTTGCTGAATTTTCTTGCTTTTACAGTTTCTTCAGACTGAATCTTAAGCACTTCCCCACACCATTGCTATTCGAGGTTTTATGGATCTACACAGCATCGAGCGACCTTTAGCTATCACGAGCTAAACACATTTACCCAACCATATAACTCAGACCTTTTGGGGGGTTTTCCAGTTTATGGTAATCTATTTAAACCTGAAACCGGCAGATTTCTATTTCCTTTGTTCCTGTGTAGACTTAGTGTATACTTGTTGGTCTCTACAAGGGACCGCTGCTGAGAAATGAGGATCTAGGCAGTTTTAACAGCACAATTTGGCTTTGATAATGCTGAATTTGCCAGCTCCTCCCAGTGTACCTTTCTGATTTTACATCACAGCAGCACACTGAATCCCCGAGGAAACCAGTTTTTTTTTTTTTTTAATTAAAAGGAAAACAAACGCAAACCAGTGAAACAGTTCTTTTAAATCATCTCCACAGATTCATTCTGTGAACTGCAGGCCTTCACAAATCCTGGAACAATAAGGACCTTTAAAAAAAAAGAGAAGCCGAGAATACTGATCAGGTTCTGAAAATCGAAAACAGGTGATGTCATAACGCATAGTCCTGTGTTCACGGCCGAGGCTGGGTGGGGAGCTGGGGCTCCAGCGAGCACGGAGCTCCGTGCCAGTAGGTGATGCAAGTTATCTCCGGGCCCGGAGGACACCGGTGAGGACCGGGCACCAATCAGGTTCTCGCTCTGCGCTTCCCTTTGTTCTCATTCGGGAGCCGCTTTCGGGCGTCCAGCTTTGGGAATCCACATTCGATCCTTACCCGCATTGCTGGCCCCTCTGGAGACCCGATAGCTCCCCTCCCGGCCCCCCGCCCACAGTCTACCCACACTTGGTTAGCCAGCGCTTTCCCCAGTGACATCTGCCTTCTCCCCCCAGAACGCGGTCGCTAAAACCCTGACTCATCATTTCTAGCTTTGGAAGAGACAAGTCTGGCCTAATAGTTTTAAACGGCAGCAGTTTGTTCTCTGAACCTTCCTTCCCAGGCAGGGCTCGGTGCTCTGCGTATATTGGAACAGCTGCCTCAGGAAGGACTTCTGAGTGAGAAGACAAACCTCTTTGGCCCTTTCATGTTGGAAAGGTAAAGGAACTTTCATCTCAACAAGACTGAGAGAAGGTGATTCAGGCAGAGGAGGAAACCGCTAAACCAGAGTTTTTGTGTCTACTTTCCCTACCATTACTTGTATAAATATATTTATCTCCTAATCCCTTCCCAAGCCTTAGGTAATGGTGTTTTTGCAAAACAAGGCTCACAGTAAGTGATGCATGAAGTTCTTTGAGATCACTGCACGCAAACTGCTACATGACTGCAGCGTTCTTTTCAGCTAAATTTAGATTTTGGCTGAGAAGCTTAACCACCGGCACGAAGGAAGGAACGTTTAACCTGCCCCTCCGTCCCGCTTTTTCAAGAGATGAGGAAATGCTTAGCTTAGTCTTACAGTCTCTAGTGAGCTATAGCTCCCTGCTATTTATCTCACGCTCCCCACCATTTCGGCTGGGACCTGGAAGAGAAGGCACAGCTTACACTGGGGGTGGAGGCTGAGCTTCCCTATATTTACATGCGACACACCCTCTTTTTCTTATTGGTGGAGCAGAGCAAACTATATTCCCTCCCACCATATTACCTAACTAACCCGCCGCCTCCCTTCAGTTCCGAGCCTTGGAGATAAACTTAACTAGCCCGGAGATTCTAGGCGGCCTAGGCCCCAGCGATTGGCCGGCGCGGCTCCCCGGCAGGCTCTGGGAGCTCATTGGCTGTGGGCTGGCGTCCTGGGGGCGTGGCCGGAGCTGTCCGGTTGGCGGGGGGGGGCGGTACCAGAGCGTGGGGGCGGTGTAGATAGTGGGGCTGCGGGGGCGGGGCCGCACTGAGGCGCTGCGGCGGCTGCGGCGGCGGCGGCAGCATCGGTGGCGACTGCTCTTCCTAGCCTGGCGGGGGCGGGGGTCTGGAGGATGGGGGCGGGAGGAACAACGGGCCGGTGAGGAGCAGCCGCCGCCGTCTCTGCCGTCGCTTGGGCAGCCGCCGCGGGGGTCGCTCCGGGCAGCGCCGATCGCTCTCGGGCCGTGGCCTCTTCATCCCCACATCCCGCCCCAAAGAGGCTGAGGCTGAATCGCGGCGGGCGACCGGGGGACAGTCCGGCTCGCGGCGGCGCTGCCGGCGGCAGTGACAGTACGGACCCGGCCCGCAGCCCGCTCTCGCCCTCGGCGCCGGCCCGCAGCCACGATGAACCGGGGCGGCAGCAGCTCGTCGGCCGCCGCCAACTACCTGCTCTGTACCAACTGCCGGAAAGTGCTGCGGAAGGTACCGGCTCGGCCTGGGGTCCGGCCCGAGAGGGCGCCTCCTGCCTGTCGGGGGTCGGGGCCCGACCCTGGGTTCACCCGGTGCAGGGCTGGGCTGAGAGGGATCCCCGGCACCGTTCCTACTCGGAGACCGAGAAAGGGGGTGTGGGTTGCGGGTGAAGGGTTCGGACCGCTGGTGCTTTTTGTCCCTGCCAGGACAGACGCTAGAACTGAGGGGTTGGGGTTTTTTTTTTTTTTTTTTTGCCTGTGGTCCGTTTCCCCGCTCGCCTCCCTACCTTGCTAGTCCAGGTCTGCACCTTGGGCGGAGGGAGGGAGGGAGGGAGGGAGGACCCGGTTGGTCTCCTTGTGCAGTTTAGCTGTTGATGGAGGTCGGCGTGAAATCAGAGCAGCCTGGTCTGGTCTGGAGGACCTGGCTCGGCTTGACCGAGGCTAACTCTTGCGGCTGTTGTTTTTGTTTATTCGGTTGCTTTTGCCTTGCGCGCTTTGCCCAGCACCCCGCTTTCGCTGGGGTCCTGTGTCGGTAATTCACCCACGAAAGGAACTAGTAAAGCATCTTGAACTTTATTCCCGTGGGAAATGCTATTCGACCTTACTGTTCCTCAGGCTGGAGTTGGAGGAGGAGGAGAGTGAGGTGGACGCGGGTTATCCTTGCTTAGCACCCCCGGCCCGTGTTGATCCAGAAAAATCAGAAGCACCATCAGTTTATTGCTGCTTTCCACAGTGACTGATAGAAAGTTTACTCCGGTATTGTTGAGCTTACTTGGTTTCATCTCTTCGTTGGGGAGTGGGGGCTGGGGAGTGTTATGGAGGAGGAGATGAAAAAGTGTCTTTCTAACCGAAAAGAGTTTTTAATCAGATCTTAACAGCCGCTCCTGAGTAACATTATAATCACTTTATTCTTACCTAAGTTCTATTTTTACACTTCATTAAGTGAGCTCCTCCTGTTTGTCCAGTACAAATGAATTAAAATCGCTGAGCTGTGCAAATGCATCGGGTCTGAAAGACCGAAAATGAGATGAATATGGTACTGTTTTTTAGTCAATTTCTCTAAATACAGTTCACTTTAGGGTTGTTCTTTATATATTTTTTTAAAAAGGAAGGGGGAAAAAAGCCCTTAAGTAAGCAAGCTCAAATATTTGCGCTCTTTGTCCAAAAACTGTTTTTCTTCCTCGGTGGGTCAGGCCAAGTGCCAATCAAAGTTGTTTTTCAAGCCTCTTTTCCCTGCAGTAGGGCTGCTGCTTTTTTTCTTTTTTCTTTTCTATTTTATTTGAGAGCTTGAGGAGAGCAAGGGGATTGCAGATTTGAAGTTAATCGAATAGTTTAAATGTGCCTTAAATTGTGTTTACTGGATGTTTCTCTTGAAACACTTTTATTAAATGTGCATGTTGATTATGTGCAGTTATTTTTTTCCATAAACTCTGGGATCAAATTACGGTTGATACTTGCTCAGCTCATTGTAGGGCAGCTTGTGAGAAATGTAATGGATCAGAGGTGCAGCTCAGCTTAGCTGAATGTTAACTCTTTCACTGCAGGGCCCATCTGAACTTAGCTTCTTAAAAAACATCATTTCTTAACTTTTAAAAGTGAAGTTATGTCTTTGACATGAAAAAACTGCGTTGTTTAAGACATGTTTTGATTAATTCAAGCCTAATTTAAAAGACAGCAAGTTTTTTTTTTTAATTGTGTAAGAAAAAAGCACTATCTGACATAATTTTTTAAATGACTCTAGCAACTTATTAAGCTAATAAAATGCTGGGGGATCTTAGGCTTCAAAATATATTTTACTTTTTTTTTTTTTTTTACAATAACTATGGCTATAGATCCATGACATTTTGCTAGCATCTTTACAGCTTTCCTATAGCTTTTGAGAAACTATTTCTGTTTACCTAGAAAGAATATCTTCATGTCTAACTTTTATTAAAAGAAGTATGGGGAAAATTGGCATTCAGATTTTTATATTTTATAATTGCTTTGCACATCTCTGCCAATATTCCACTTTTTAGTAACTGCAAGGTATTTAATATTGATTCAAGTATTAGCCTGAAATAACTTAGGTGAAAAAAAGACTGTTTGAGCCAGTTATGACATGACTGGGAACAGTTGTATCTTTTTTAAGAGTGCCATTTTTATGTGCTCTTAAAAGAAATCAGAATCTAGCCCTTTAAATTCTTCTTTATTCTAAAAATAGCATGTAAGAATGTGTTTCAAATAAAGATGTTTTTCTTATTAATAGAAAGAATTTAAGTAAAATTCTTCTGTAACTCTCAAAATGTGATTCTTTGTATTTATCTTGTGTTGTCTGCTTCATAAAATGTTGAGTAATAGCACTTTGAATTTTGGTAAGCTATAGTACATCATAGAAGAATGAAACTCATGTGCATCCAGTGTGGATTACTCTTTACTGATGGGGGAAGGGTCACCTTTATATGTAGTAGAAAGCCTTCTCTAAGTAAGTAGCTTAACTTGTTGCAATGTGTTGAATTTTAAGGGAACTTCAAAAGGAACTGAAATTACCTTCCAAGGAAATATGTAATTTATTTCCTTATGTTTATTATGTTTAACCCAGTATCTGAATTTTGAATTGTGTATTGTATATGAAAATCACATTTATTCTTAGACATGCCTTTACAATTCTGACTAAATGTCTTACAAAATAAAGTGACTTCTCAAAAATATTCAATGTGCCTAATTGGGGAATGTTAGTAAGAAGAAAGGAGTGATAAATCTCATCTAGAAACAAATAAGCAAACAAAACTATCCTCAAATCTATAACTTCTGTTAAGTCTAACTTGCTCTGTTATCAATGAAGTAGTTCAATAAAGTTTTTAATAGAGGAAGTGCTTGTATTTACTTTGTACACTTAATAAGTTTCGAAGCATAATACATTTTACTTGGAAGAATTTCCAATGACAACTAGATAATGTGATCCTTTTAATTTCAAAAGTGGAATGCCAAACTGCATTGAGGAAGGAAATTGTCCACTCATCTTTCAGTAAATAAATCATGTTTTGACAACTTTTTTTTTGGTTTTATAAACAAAGATACTTTCAAATTAAAATGAAAAATAATAGGTTTAACCGTATGTCCCTCAAGTTTATAGACAAAATTGGCAAGTAATAGCAATTTTATATGGTTTAGCCAATAGAATGGATTCACTTTATGCACTAGTAGCTATATTCTGCCTTGCTTAATTTGGTTTTCTTGTGTTACATATTTTTGATTGTCAAGGGCACTTTTTACTTGAAAAACTTAAATGTCAAAGATCAAAGAAGCAGTGAATTCATGATAGCAAACCTTTATGCAGTAGTTTTCAAACTGCATTCTATGGAGTCCTAAAGTGCTTCAGGGTTTAAAATGTTTGAGTAGTATTAAATTTTTTTTTTTTTTTTGTATGAAAGGTCTTTATTGGTGGGGAAGGGAGGCTGCAGGGCAGCACCAAGGAGGAGAGAAAAGGGGAGAGAAAAGAGGAGAGTGAAGAGGAGAGTGAGGAGGAGAGAGATCAGGGGAGAAGAGAAGAGAGAGCAAGTTGTATTAAATTTTTAAGTATAAATTATTTTAATACTATTGTTATTTTAATACTATTATAATTTAAGAGTATACCTATCCCCAAATGTGTTATATATAATATAGATACATTGGAGCCTACCTCAATTATCTTTTGTTACAAGATTATTCTTGTGTAGGCTTTGAATTGCAACTTGCTCTGCCATCTTTGTGTATATGTATGAATGTGTGTGTGTGTGTGTGTACTTGAACTTTTTTGTTACTATGTCACTGAAGAGGAAGATTGTCACTGATTATGAAGGCACTGCTCTTTCTTAAAAGATTCCTTCCATATCTACTTATGTTAAAATTTTATTTGTGAGAACTCAAATTTATTATCAGCAATTATTACTATATAACTAAAATATATATTAAAGTTGTTGATGCTTACAGTTCGGGTTCAATATAAGATTTCATTTTTTTTCATGATCTTTGCAGTATCATCAGCTGAAAACGTAGGTACTGTGTTTTTGCCCATCAGTTTGATATTATTAGATAGGAATATGGCCTTGTGTTTTCTAAGCTGCAGAAAATAAGATTTCATTTTCTGAAAGGCTCTCTGCTGCTTCCTACAACTACCCACCACCAAATAGATAAACGCATGTAATACACTGTAGTTACTAATGTAGTAATGCTGAAAATGACAACATATGCTTATAAGTCTTTGACAGGTTTTTTAATTTCGAAGTTTAGTTTTATCTGTAACATGTTGATAATTTCTACCTGTCTTACAAGTAGCTGCATAGTTTGAAAGAGATAATATGTGTTCAAGCACTTGGTAAACAAAACATATAACTATAAGAAAGAAAATGACAAACCTATATATTTTCTCTTTTTTTCTGAAATGTCTTAGTTTTATTTTGTGTTATGGGAATATATTTTAATATATTCTGAATAATTTGCTTACTATGCACTTTTCTGTCTTATTTTATTATTGCTTGTAAATGGGAGATCAATGTTATGCTTTTAGGTTGAATGACCTTTTTTCACTTGTTTTTGACTTCCATATTTCTGCCTGTGTTCTTTTCCTTTTCCAGTCCCCTTCATTTAAATAACAATTCATTTGGACTTTCAAATAAATAAATTGCCTCTTTGATACTTCAGCAGATAAGAGAATTGAAATTTGGTTCGAAAAGAGTAATAATGAAGGTTGATTGTGCTCAATAAAGGTGGGGATGAATCTAGGGTAAAGCAAAGAATTTTTAATTATTTTAGTTTAGGAGAAGAGTTATGGAAGTAAAAGTCCCTTAAGTTTTTCTCCAAATCTCTTCATCTGTTTCGTGTTTTTCTTTTAAAGGGACTGGGTTATAATAACTTAAATTTATATTGACCTTAGTTGATTCTCACATGGTATCTGTCACATAACTAATAAGATGTCCACATAATTCTTAGTACTGCCTCTGTAATAAACTGTATTGTAGTTGTCCCCTGCAGATTTGAGGCTGCTAGGGAATATCC